CCCTCCCCAAGGGAGAAGGGGGGAGGACCTTCAGCCAATGGAGGGAAGACAGGCTTTGCTCTGTAGCTCCTGTGCAATTTAGAGAGTCTGTCAAAGCAAGCTGTGATGCAGAAGGAAGCAGGAGAGTGGGAGAAGGAAGCAGATGAGAGCCAGTTGCTCACAGGCCGGATATGAGCCCTGTGGGGGCCGGATCCAACCTGTGGGCCGCATATTTGACACCCCTGGGCTAGAGTATATGCCTCACAGCAATAGCAATGTCTGAAGAACTTTCTTAAATACCCTCAGTGGGACAGAAGCATATTAATAAACTCTTCAGCTCTTATTCTCCCAGGTTTTTAAAAATTTAGAAATAAGAATGTGCTGCTAGATTTAAAAACCACATCTCCCTTGAAAAACAAAATAAAACTTTGTCAGAAACTTCAGTGAGACTCATTTGTCTTGGAAAGTTTTCAAAACAGGCATGAGAATGCAGATACTGTGGCCATGAATGCCTAAACAGGCCTGTCTGAGATGACTAAAAGTAAATGCCCCCATCCTGTATATGGCTACACTCTCTCTCACACACACAAAAGGCAAGGAAACAGTAACTGTATTTCCCAGGGATATTTTGCTCATATTCTTACCAAGACAATCACATCTCAGTGAGGGTTTTGCATGGAGTGAAGTAAGGGAGAAATCAACAAAATTCAAACCTTTTTTTTTACATTTGCTGTAAGTTAAAGATAGATGGAGCTATCTTTAACAACTCCATATGCAAATTATCTCAAAAAGACAATTCAGCTTCTGCTTAAAGAAATCCTATGCTAAAACTTTTTAAATAACTGGATCCTTCAGTAAATTAGCTGATAAACTGGAACAGATCTAAAAACGAAAGAAATCTTTATAGTATATATCAAGTACTAGCCATGGTAAATTAATACCCACAAATTACTGATTCTGAAAAGCAGTTTTATTAGCTCTTTCTAAAAAATATAAATTCAACTTGAGTAACTCTACAGTTTGTCATTCCCTAAAATATATATTAAAATTGTATAGTGATTGCCCTAAGTTCTTCATATCCCCACAATATAAAATTACAAACTTGGGTGCTAAGCAGCTTTTATACTTTATCATACTGAATAATGATGGGCAGTGGTGTGGGTTCTCTGAAAAATTGTCCCAAAATTAATTAATTAAATAAAAATAAATATTTAAACACTGTTAGCAACATTTAAATCGTGTTAGCAAAGGAGGCAAATATACCATGTACAAGTACTGAGGATTTGTAGCACAACAGCCCTGACAAACAGCCCTTACAATAATTCTGATAATTACAGAGAGAGAGAGAGAGAGAGAGAGAGAGAGAGAGAGGTGTGCCACCAAATCACAGCACCTTATGGTGACCCCACAGGGTTTTCAAGGCAAGAGACCCATTGCCTTCCATTGCATAGCAACCCTGGAATTCCTTGATAGTCTCCCATCCAAATACTAACCAGGGCTTGGCTTCCGAGATCTGACAAAATCAGGCTAGTCTGAGCCACCAAGGTCAGGGTGATAATTACAAAAGAAAAACATATTATTGTTAGCAAAAATGAAAGGAAGTCCCTGGATAAACCAGTATTGGAGATAATGAAATTTTTCTTCTTTGAAAACATCAAGGAAAGAAAGTGTTTAGCTATTATTGTTTGTCCTTTGTTT